GGGGGGGGGCATGAGTCTTAAACATTAAGCTCAATGCAAGGCGTTGGATTGAGAGACTTAGTGGTGTTTGTGTGAAGTCTGAGCATTGGTTGTTAAAGGAAGGCATTTTAAAGTGTTTACAGTTTTAAGCAGAATCATCCCGTGTTGTTGAATAACTTGAATAACTTGAATTCCTCCAATGAGAAAAAGCTGCTTCTGTGAGGATGGAAAGTAGAAAGCGATGTGACTTTTTGAAGCTGCACATACGTAGATGTGCATTTCTCACGACGATGTAAACTCTCCTCTAGATTTCAACTTAGTTAATCTTCTGAATGAATTCTCCCACATTTAAAACACCAAGGTGACGTTCTGAAAGGACAGGTAATATCAGAAAAGCTGCAGAAAAGTTAAATATTTAAACAAACTTTAAAACGTTACTTTCTTTGTCTCCAATTAAAAATGACACAAGTTAAATACTGGCTTTATGCTGAGAGGTATCTTTCCCCGGTGTGGGTACAGTAGGTCTGATCTGTGAAAACAGTAAGAAGGTTTGTGGGGCAACATGTCATCTCATATTTGTCTTTTAGAAACACATTTCTAGACATCGTCCTAAACGTCTGTTATTGTTTTCTGTTTACAGCTAGCTGTGCTGTGATTGGCTGATCTCTGACATCAGTGTAAAGATGGCATTTTACAGTTTTGAGCAGAATCATTGTTTTCTATTGAACATTTTAGACAAGATTTTGTGCAGAAACCAGATTTTCTAAAATGGTGAACTTGAATTCCTCCAATGACAAAAAAGCTTTTTTTTTGCGAGTTTAGAAAGTAGAAAACTAGATCCACATTTAAAACACCTCGGTCTGACGTTCTGGAAGGACAACGAATATCAGAAAAGCTGCAGAACAGTTAAATATTTAAACAAACTTGAAAATGTAATTTTACTTTTTTTTTTCAACAACACAAGTTAAATAGTTCTCTATGCTTAGAGGAGTGGGATAGGTCTATATGAAAAAGGATTTCCGGGTATTATTTGTTTTATTGTGAGAAACACATTTCTAGACATTGTCCTAAACGGCTTTTATTGTTCTCTGTTTACAGCTAGCTGTTCTGTGATTGGCTGATCTCTGACATCAGTGTAAAGATGGCCCACCTCTTCCTCGCCAGTAAGATCTCCATGCTGGACGCCAAGATACCCCCTCAAAGCGCCATGAAAACACAGACTCCTGCAGAGAATCTGAACCAGAACAAGTCCAGAGTCGTGTTGTTGTCTCGCGTCCCGCACGTTAACGAGCTACAGCTAACGGCGGCTACAGGTGGAGCAGAGATGTCGTGTAATCGATGCATCGTGCCGTTCGGCGTCGTGGTTCTGATCGCCGGCATCGTGGTCACGGTGGTGGCGTACACCTTCAACTCCCACGGGTCCAACATCTCGCTGCTGGGGCTGGTGATGCTGTCTACTGGACTGTTCCTGCTGGGCTCCAGCGCCCTCTGCTGGAGGCTGAGAGGCAGCAAGAAGACGGACAAGCGCCGCGAGAGCCAGACCGCCCTGCTGGCGAGTCAGGGGTACTGCGTGGCCTGAACACCGTCCGGTTCAGGTGATTAACGCACCACGACTTAAACAGAGACTCGGATTGGTCAACTCTGCATTTCCTAAAGAGATGAATCCGTTTGTACTCGCTGCAGGCGACGAATACTCTGCAGAAAACTCAAAGAACGAGGATTTAAACACGACATCCTGCGGGAGGGGGCCCTTTGTTCCGATGGCCCAACAATCATTAACAACTATTGTCCCGAAACAGAAGCTCATGGCTGACTATCGTCTCAAATTACGCCGTCAGACCTTTGAAACAATATCTGATTACTTTGGGACAACGGACTGTCGGACAAATCAGCTTTTGGTCCTTTTTATTGGTGTTTCGGGAATAATTGTTGTGATGGCCCGTTTGTCTGACAGCTCGATAACCAACGACTACAGGCTGGAAAACACACTTTCTGAAACAAACAGAAGCACAAATGGCTAATATTTATCGCTAATCATCGGACCCTTGGAACAATGGCCGTTCAATTTGGGACAACGGGCTTTCGGACAAATGGTCCAGTTAATTGGGGTTTCAGAATAATGGGCCATCGCACAAATAGCATGGCTCAGATTCAGGAGCAGAAAGTAATGCATGGATGATGGAGAGGAGACTTTTTAAGGTGAGACGATGAGGTTGATTATCCATTCCTCAGAACTGTTATCGAAAGGGCTTTGGTGGAGGACTCTGCTCCACATGGAGGACTCTGCTCTACATGGAGGACTCTACATGGAGGACTCTACATGGAGGACTCTGCTCCACATGGAGGACTCTGCTCCACATGGAGGACTCTACATGGAGGACTCTGCTCCACATGGGAGGACTCTGCTCCACATGGAGGACTCTGCTCTACATGGAGGACTCTACATGGAGGACTCTGCTCCACATGGAGGACTCTACATGGAGGACTCTGCTCCACATGGAGGACTCTGCATGGAGGACTCTACATGGAGGACTCTGCATGGAGGACTCTGCTCCACATGGAGGACTCTGCTCTACATGGATGACATACAGTAATCAAAAAACTGCTAATAAGCTATAAAACACACTTAACAAAGTACTCTAAGTTCCTTGTTCTCTGATAAACTCCACTTTGGAAGTTTCTTTCTTTGTCTGCCGCCCTGGCAGACAAAGAAAGAAACTTCCAGATAGATACAGTATTTGTAAAACATAGCTAGGGAAAGGGGGAGAAACTCAAACTTAGGGAAACTTATGATTTTACATTTATGAGTCAAAGGAGTCTGAGAGTATTGAACACATTTGAGGATACGATGTTTTCTTGTAAATTAGACATTTTTGTTGTGAGTTTTCCATTTAAACACTCGGAGAATATCCACTTCTGTTTCTCGGAATGTATTATTTGATTTTGGAAAGTCTTTGAATATTATCCCCCTCCCCCGACTCTGTGATAAGTTATTTTACAGCTAATGGTGGCAGTGCGCCCAATCATCTCATCTAATCTGTGATATGCATGGTATCTTTCTTAGGTATGATCCTAAGTGACGAAGATATTCCTTCGTTTTTAAGAGCTCACATGAAGCTGTTAAACGTTCCTTTTTCCCGTTGTATTTATTCCGTGTCCTTGTTGTATTAAAGGGAATCTTTCAAAACCAACGTGAGAGATCTTTCTCCTCAGACGGTTTGTTCTGTACAGTCTGTAGTTAGAGCAGTGTTTACATTCAGCTGTGTTTATGTTGCCTAGCAACGCACGCACACACACACACACACACACACACACACACACACACACACACACACACACACACACACACACACACACACACACACACACACACACACACGGATGAAGTTGCGTCATTGGGAGGTTGTGTTGACGGGTGACGGTTACAACGCGTCGTCACTTCTGTGGCGAATTATAGGAAAAAGAAAACTACAATCTTTAAATGGGTAAATGTAACAAAAAAAAGTTAATAGTCTTTAAAGGTGGGGAAGGACTCTGCTCTACATG